CTTCTCAGGACCGAAAAGAACTGAGGATTCGAATGGTCTCTGGAAAAGTACGTCGCAGAACTGATTCGGACTTACCAGGTCCATCTAGGTCTGGAGAGATCTTGAAAGACCTGTGTACGTCCAATCAGAACCAAATCCTCGACTCGGTAGCCTCAAGAACGTTATCCTCTCCCTTTTGACTTAAGAATGTTTGACCCTCCCGCGTCTCTCCCATCTGACCCTTAAGAATGTTTGACCCTTTGACCCATCGTCTTTTTCCAGTAATGAAGATGAAAAAAAAATTGAATCTGCTCTTTCTTTTCGATAGAAAAATTTGAAATCAGTTTTTGGTAAATATCTCGAAATCCAAAAGAAATATCTAAATTTTTATATGAATCTTTTTTGTAGCTGAGAATATATCAAACAATAAATTATTACTGAAATTTTCTCCTAAAATCAGTAGTTATCCAGATAATTGAAAATTACGAAAATGTGAAAATGTAAACTTACGGCTTTCAATTCTTCTGGTTTTGCTACTCCCAACGCCAATTCCCATAGTTCACTTCCTAGACTCTGCGCCCAACGGTTAACACTAATAAATTAAAAATAACTATAAAAACATTATTATTCATAATTTATTCACATGAAAATGAATGTTTTCCTTTCAATTCTCGGCAAAAAATGCGGAAAATTGGAATGAAATAATTATTCTTTCTTGAAAAATTGCGACAATAGCCCTCACTAAGCTTGAATAGTGAAAAAAAGACACTTCTAGTTCTATTAATAAAATTAAACAACAATAAAAAATTTTCACGGAGTTGGAATTATTGTTCGTATTGTCTGCAGTTCCAATCGCACGTTATTTTTTCCATTCAACAACTTACATTTGTGCATCGCGAGCCAGGCAAACACCGGCTATAATTAACAATAGACACGTGCTCACTCGACCCAGCAACATTGCCACAAAAATAATCACCAAAAACTTTTTCTCAATTCATCGAAAAAAAAAACACGTTTTCCTCGACGAATTATTCCAGAAATTTCTTCCTAGGTGGCATTATCGTTTTTGACAATGAGTTGCCGAAGTCAGCCCCGAAAGTCTTTGCCCCGCTGATCTGATTATTTTTGGTCCAACGGAACTAGTTCGAACTGCGAACGCTGGAGCGTCTGTGCACAGTTGGGGCGTTATATTTATAAATTTTTTGGGATCAGTTGTTGCGCTGAAAGGAAAGAAATTAATTCAAATTGCCGAAGGGAATTTTTCGTCGCCAATTTGATTCCATTGATGGTGGGGAACAATTGGCGGTGAAGAACATGGGTGACAGCTGTATGAAAAATTATGAAAATTTATGAAAATTTTGAATTTTTGAATTTTCAGGGAATTCCGTCATTGAAAATTTAGAATTTGGTGGAAAAAACAAAAAGAACTGTAAATTTCAGTTTCATTTTTCCCCGAAAATGAATAGAAAACCAGAAAATTCCGGTAAACATATTTTTTAATTTTCAATTTTCAATATTGAAATAGTTGCTGTCCTAATGAAAAATGAAACGTACTCATTGCTCTAGTGCATAAGGCATATGAAACTGTGAAAGCTTATTGTTGACGTCTCATACAACAATTACCGCCATTTTATTTTTTGTTTACTATTTTCGATCTTTTCTCTGTGCTGCTGGATATTTATGTTAAGCTCTTTGTTGTCATTCCGGATGTAAGGTCACGCCCCTGCACCGTATGGCATAATAGTATTTGTAAAAAAACTGGGCCAAGAAAAAGTTTTGTCTGATTCCTACTGGGAAATCGAAGTTTTTGAAAAATACATAGAAATAAAAAAAATCCTAATCGGCTGTATCCTTGATACGTTGAAATGCTCATAGGCGATTTATATAATGTAACTAACGACACTTTCCCGATTTGTCGTCCCGTTTTCATTATAACGAATGTAAATCATTTATTGGAGGGGGAAGTTCTGTCGTGTATAAATACGCGGTGCTCCCGGCCTGATATTTTGCTCAGTCGGTCAAAACTTTTCTTGGCCGATACGCTACCGCGTATCTCGATCTTACGTTAAAGGGGAATTCCCCCGTTTTCACACATGTGACCTAATATACTATTCTCATAGAAATCTGATTGTGCACTGTGACCATTCATTCGACATTCCTGACGTGGCTTTTTTTTCCATTTCTTTGTATTTTTCAAAAATTTCTACTTCCCACTAAAAACCAAACAAAACTTTTTCTCGGCGCAGGTTTTTTTACAAAAACATTTGTTTTTGTTTATCCAATTAATCCTTATCTTAACAAAACTAGAACCTCTCTCCATGACAATCCGAAGGGAATTGAATTTCATGTTCGAAATAGTATATTTCGATACGAGTGAGACGGAACTTTCACGAATGTGAAGTTGGCGGTCCCAAGTAAATCCGAGGGCTGCCAATCACACAAGCTGAAAATTCCCGTCTCACATGTGTCGAACATTATTTTTTCACAGTGATGTTACGTTCAGCGAGTGGCCAAACTGTCTTTTTCGTTCACAAAATAGCTATTTTCGTCACAAGGCCGAAAAGTTGCTTTCGGGTGAGCAGAGTTTGGCGTGTAAATTACGTTGGTAAATTACACCGTTTTTAACCGATGTAATTTATGTAAATTACCTCAACGGTTTTTTTTATATTTGTTACATTCCCTCGAAAAACTTGCAATTTTCGGTTACTAGAATGTTTTATTTTATTCCGGCTGACGAAGACGCAGTATTGGACACATAAATATCATAAAAAATAGTAGATTATATCCCGAGGACAGATATACCGGGAATTTTAATTTCAGTTTATTTGATTAGAACGCGGATCTCAATACTTGGGGCATAAGATACTATTTTGTCCCTAGGACCGTAAAACCGCGATTCTAGCTCTACGTATGTATAAAATATCCAAGTGAGACAGTTATATCCTTCATTATTTTTTTATGTAATAGAAATAGAATTCTGTTCAGCATTTATTCTTTGATACAGTTTCACAGTGTCTTCAACTTTCTCACGCGAGTCAATTTTATTTCACATTTACTTTCGAGTTATATTAACCACTGAAACTTAATCCTCTTGTTATCAATGGAACGGTCAGCCCATTGTTATGTCTTCCCTCTTGACGAAAAAAAAGTAGTTTGAATTTAACATTGACACGTTTGAAAACAGAGGAAACTATAATCCTTCAAGAATGAATGTTCATTGTTTGTGAAGAGATTTTCCACATTTAAATTCTGGGACTGGATAATCGTAGCCAGCGATGGAATTGGCTTTATTCGGAGAGGTGCACGTGTACGGTAGCGTAAACATATTCGCAGTAATCGATCCGTTGAGACAATATTGTCTGCTGACGTTGGGGCAATGTTGGCCACCAATGTTGTGGCAATGTTAGCTGCCACAGCTGGGACACCATTGACTGCCATCGTTGGAGCAATACTTGCGGCCATCGTTGGGACAATATTAGCTGCCAACGTTGTGGTAATGTTAAATTCAATGAATCATTCAATTCAATTTAAGATGAATGGAAAGGCGTCAGTCGCTTGAAGGGTCAGACGTCTTGAGGGTCAAACGTAACAAGGATCAAGTGTCTTAAGGTTCACAAGAGTCAGATGTTTAAAGGACCCGAAGTCTTATGGGTCAAATGTCTCAAGGGTCAGACGTGTCAAGGGCCGACATTTAAAGGGTCAAACGTCTCAAGAATCCTACGTCAGGGCTGACCTGATCAAATCCTGATCTGGACCTGATCGATATTTCCACTCGGGTTATCAGCCCCCCCCCCCCCCCCCCCCCCCCCCCCCCCCCCCCCCCCCCCCCCCCCCCCCCCCCCCCCCCCCCCCCCCCCCCCCCCCCCCCCCCCCCCCCNTTTTCATAAGAGCCTTTTTTGTAGCCCTTGAAATTCTCCACAAAAAAGGTCATTACAAAAGCTCTCCTAGATTCGAGATATTCCCCAAAAACTTAATCGCAAATTTGTCCCTTTCTCGTCCTCGCGATTTTACAACCGCGTCAGGATCCCCTGTCCTTGAAATTTATCAATTAAAAATAATACTCAACTAATTTTCCCCTAGTCCACCTTATCAGTCCCCCCCTCCTCCGTCACGACTCGATCACCTGATGACGCTAAAATGCATAATGCAGTTCCCATGGTGCGCAAACTCGTGTCGAATAAAAAAAACTGAAACGTCCAAGTGACCAGTTCTTGGTGAATATCTCAAAACCCATGCGAGATACCAAAATTTTCATAAGAACCTTTTTTGTGGGGAATTTCAAGAGCTACAAAAAAGTTCCTTACGAAAACTCCCCTATCCCCCCTAGATTTCAAAACATTCCCCAAAAACTAAATCACAAATTCGTCCCTTCGTAGTCCTCGCGGTTTTACAACCGTCTCAGCTTTCCCTCATATACTCAACTAATTTTCCCCTAGTCCACCTTATCAGTCTCCCCCCCCCCCCCCCCACCCCCGTCAGCCCTGACTCGGCCAACACCTGATGACGTTGAAATGCATAATGCAGTTCCCATGGTGCGCAAACTCATGTCAAATGGATCACGTAGGAGAGTGCGACGTACCGCGAGTAATCGGACCACTCGGGTACACAATAAAATCACACCGTCTGCCCACGTTGAACTGGCGAATGGGGGTAATATGGATTCCTATTGATTATTATTGAGCCCCGGTGGTTTGAATTTTACACGCTGGGTGAGATTGCCACCGGGCAGTCACCCAGTGTCTGTCCAACGAGCCACTGATGCCACCTCAAAGTATCGACACGTACGAGTGCAGTCCTGAATTATTGTCCATTGTTGACAACAGGACTAAAATTTCGCTCAGGGGCTCCTCACGTGGTGCGTGAAAATAAGTGTTTTTTATTATTTTTCACGCGTGTTTTTCGATTTTATTGAATTTCTGTGATGCTGTGGTGTTTAGGTGATTGTGGGAATGGAATCGGTGATTTTTTTTTTAGGAAAAGCCAAAATTTGGTGAATGACAGGAGAAAATTTTGGTCAATTTTTCTTTTTTCTTTTCATAATTCATTTTTTTTACAGTTTTTATTATTTTTTGGAGAAAGAATTCAATTTTTTTAATGAAAAGAAAATTTTTAGTCATTTTCTTCTGAAATTTTTTTTATTCAATTAAAAAATTTAATTTTTTTCTCCTGAAATTGATTTTTTCGTATGAAAAATAAGACTATTTCAAAAAATTTTGTGAACAAAAAATGGTCAAATTGAAAACAGAAAAATGAACGAAGAAAAAAAAATTTTTCTTGAAAAAAAAATTGATTAAATTTTAAATCGTTATTTGTCACTCCGTCGAATGTACCGATACTTCCGGGTAGGACACGTCACTGGAAGGTATAAAAAATCGGAAGAACAGCTGAAATGGCGGAAAATTCATGTGATAAGACGCGGATAATTATTACAAATGGGGTTTTGAGCGGATAATTGCAAGCATCACGAATAATACGTCCTCATGGCCACTGTTGATGTTGCGTGACGATTTGTTTACTTCTTCCATGAAAGAAAAACTTTTCAGTCATTCGGAGTTTTAAGAGTAAACAATTCAGTAGCGAAGTAGTAAAACGGTTTAAGTCGACGTACCTTCCAGTTGAGTTTTTGCGGAATATTTTCGAATCTAAGGGAGATAGCGAAATTTTCGTAACTACATTTGTTGTAGCTCTCAATTGGCTCTACAAAAAAGGTTATAACAAAAATTTTGCCATCTCCCTTAGATTTCGAGATATTTATTGAAAACTGGTCAATAGTCAAAATTGATTTGTAGCGTTTTACCACTTCGCTACTGAATTTTCTCCCGAAAAACTGTATGTTCCACGTGAGGATATTTGACTGAGTGGAGCAGATTTACTTGAGGAAAATTAACCCACTATTTTCCCACATTTCAGTAATTCCATCAGAAATCAATAAAAGGGCGGAAAAAGAAACCAAATTACACGAGTAATGAATATCTTTATGATTTTAAGAAATTTCTAATTTTTTTGCGCAAAATTGGACTATCCCGTTTTACCCGCCCTATCCCATTATGCCCCAGCCTCCCCTATTCACTTTATAAAGCCGGCGCCTCATATAATCCTCTGTAGCACGAATTTATTTGCCCGAAAAACATAAATGTCTCACGAGAGCAATTACTACTACGAGAATTATCATGTTTTTGTGGAAACTTTGTTTTTTGTCTTCAAGTAAATTGATTCAGCACGTTAACAACAACTTTTTTCACTTGAATCGTAATGTACTATTTCGGCAGAACTAATTTTTTTCTCTCAATGTGCGATAATTTCATTTGAAAATGAGTTTTTTGGAGACTTCTCGGAATTTATGATAAATGCCGAAAGTTTTGTAGGAAACTTTTTATAGCTCTTGAAATTCTCTAAAGAAGAGGATATTAGCAATATTCCCGTGATCTCTGATGATTTGTCAGATACTTTCAAAACAATATTGACAAAAATGAATCAATGCCTAGGTTTAGGACGTGAACTTTTCGTTCTTTGGGAATATCTCGAAATTGATGGGAAATAGACAAATTTTCGACACTATATTTTCTGTAGGAAATTTAAAGAGCTACAAAAAAGATTTTAGTAAATATTTTGGTATCGACGATAGTTTCCGAGATACTCCCCAAAAACTATCTTGTGAAAACCACATTAATGCCTCAGTTTGGGAAATCAATTCTTTGTTTTTTGAGGATATCTCGAAATTGATAGGGAATAGCAAAATTTGTCATTCCATCTTTTCTACAGCTCTTGAAATTCTCCCTAAAAAAGATATCAACAAAAATTTCGCCATCTTCCCCCAATGTCGAAATATCTTCGAAAAACTAATCGCCCCCATATCAATAATTTCTTCATAAAACAAATTGTATAGAATGCCCCTTTTCTCTTCTTTCACAATCTCCCAGAATAATTTGTCCGATAAATAATTGAAAAACGATGGGAAGTGACATCAAATATTTATTAATAACCCCTTCCTTCCTCCTCCCACATTTATCGATCCCACAACCCCCAATTTTTATTGACCTAACAAAATCATGAAATTGTGGAATTTTTCACGTATTGAGCTTCTGGAAGTCTAAACAATCATTTCATTTTAATAATTTTTCCATTAAAAAAAATGAAATAATCCTTTTTTATTATTTTACTCGATTGAAAAACGAGGGGAAGTAACATAGAATATTTATTAATCACACTCAAGGGCTCTCAGAAAATGGTCAACAGAAATTGAAGAAAAGAATAAAGATGAAATCAGGGAAATTAATTGAGACGCTGTATCATCTCTGAATAATCATCTCGATGAATTATCAGATGAACCCCTCAAACGACTCGTATGCAAAATAATGTCTCTCGGTGTTGTCGTCACCTCGTGCTCACACGAGATGTTAAAGAATAATATGTCACGACATTGCCGGGAATTAACGTCGAATTAGTATTGACTGATTGATCCCTGGTGGCCACGACCTCTGACAGAACAACTGCGTGAGGGCTTCGGAGTTGAGCTGTGGTCGTGCGAACGCCTCTCGTGAGGTCAGCCTCGGGGTTAATTAGTGACTCGGTGTCGCACATTCGGATTGCGATTAGATGTTGAGCATTTATTTTCGATTTTACGGGTTAAGAGAAAAAAAAATTATTTCACTTCTGCATTCGATGGACAGTATCTCACCTGATGGTCATTAATTATCAATAATTCAGTTCGTCATCATTGTGATTATTAACTGAGGAAAAAAAGTGGAATTCATTTTTTTTCAAGCATTGAAGCATTAATTTATATTTATAGTTTTATAAATTAAATTTTTTTCTTCTCGATTCAGGACGAAGTAATATGTTTCGATTATGCTTTTTGTTGTTGAGGTGTTTCGTCTACATTTCTCCGGGGGGTGAAACGGAAGGGGAGTCTCATTGTTCTCGAGCCCTGATTCAATCCCTGAACGCGAAAATTTTCATTTTTCAAGTAAATGTTTCGGCGTGCATTTGAACGTTTCTTGAATATTATTTTTTTTGTCAGATTGATTGATTTTTTTCCCATCACCTACGAGTGTCAAATTATTTCTATTGCATGTTTTCATAATTATTGAAACCATATTAAAATGCATCAGAGACATGACAATGCCGCACGGATCATTCCTGTGGTTATTTCGAGTTGGTAAACCTGACGAGTGTTTTCTCTCTCTCAGTTCCATGGTCTAACCTATACCTCTCTCCCATGATGCTCCAGCGATTATATTGACATTCGAATTGCGCGCCACTCACGGTGAAGGCGTTATTGCCACACGTGAGCCTCAATGGATAGAATTTGCCCCGAAACTCATAATTTCCCGTATCATTTTTTCAAATAACTTTCTCATGAAAGCTTGAAATCTTCAAATCTTGAATATTGAAATGAAATCGCAGTCGGTGCGCTAAAAGGAGGTTAATCTCAGTCATTTTTAAGATTATTAATTTTGTTCTCCATTTAATCATCATCTTGGCTCAAATAATGCTCTAATTGATACCAGAACCTCATTTCGCTTGACCTCACTGACTTAAGTGAGTTATTTTTAAATTAAAATATAAAAAAAAATGACAAACAATTACTCGAAAACAGAGTTGAGCAAAATTGTAATGTAGAATTAACATTATGTCATTAAATCCAAAATCTGTTAATTGTATCGTACAATTTTTCAATTTTTATTAAATTAATCATCAATTAAATTTTCGAAATTTTCAAATATTTTATAAATCAGTAATTGATTTGTAAGATTGACGATTAATACACCAATCGAAGAATCAAATTCAGAAATATTGAATCAATTGTTTAATAATAATTGAACATGAAAAATTGTTTTCAAATTTCAATAAAAAAAAAATCGAAATTTTCAAAACACGTTTCTTTTATCAATAAAATTACGTCACTCGTGATCAATGGAAAACAAAACTTCCAATGTCTCTAAATATTATTTCCCATCACCCCAGAATATGACGTAGAAATATTCAACCTTTGAGTCTATAAACAAACAAAATAATTCCCAGACCGAAGAGCGAGGATAGTGAATTCTGCAGATTGTTCTTTAAATGCATCCGAGAAAAGATTAGATAAAAAACCATATCGGATTATCAATGACGTCACGCTTTCCCCCTCCATCAAATATTGATCACCTAAATTTTCAGTGTTCCCCAAAAGCCAAAACTATATCTCTCAGTCGCCCGTGAAACACGACGCACGTAACATTCTCGACGTTAAGTATATCCGCGTCAGCGTTTTATCACTGGCATCGACCTATCATTCGGTAAACAAACACCCCGGAAAAGCCGACAGTTACTCAGGACAGTGAGTATATATATCCTCACGACTGATGTCTGTGGATTCCAAATTTTCTTCGCAGTGACATTATCAATATTCACTGTTTATCTCTGAGGGTGTGCCCTTTGATGATAAGGCGAAGGTGAAGTGTACATTCGAGAGATCTGAAAATTCTGCTCACCACGCCCAAAAAATTTGTTGATTCAAGGAAATCACGACTTGATTCAAGTAAGAAGACTATATGATGCAATCTGTCTGTGTTTCCGATTCACTTTGAGGATAAAAGGAGAAAACTGAAAATGATAACTAGTGTTCATCCGGAATCTACTTGATTCAAGTAGACTTGATTCAATCAGACTTGATTCAAGTAGAGGTAGACTTGAATCAACTATTTTTTCCACTTGAATCAAATATTTTTCTTACTCGAATCAAGTATCATTCCTATTTAAATCAAGCATCTTTCCCACCTGAGTCAACTTAATTCAAGTGTACTTGATTCAAGTAGAGCTCGATTTGAATTAGCTAGGTATATACTTGAATAAAGTATTTTTTCTACTTGAATCAAGCATCTTTCCGACTTAAGCCAACTTGATTCAACTACACTTGATTCAAGTAGAGCTCGACTTGGATCAGGTAGGTAAATACTTGAATAAAGTATGCTTTCTACTTGATTCAAGTATTTTTCCGACTTGATTTAAGTGAAAAATTGGAAAACCCAGCAATTGATTTTCCAGTTATCTCGGAACCAAGTGATTCTACGAGAAAAATGCATAAAACATTTTTTGTAACTGACAAAATTTCCAACAAAAAATATTTTATGAAATTTTTTCACAAATTCACTCGTTTTAAAGATAATCCAAAGTTGAAAAAATAAAAAAACTCGAATTGTCACGTTTTCCATCAATTGTCGGATCTGATGATCAATAATCCGTTCCACCCGGCCTCGTCCAATCCCATCGATATTCTTACATCACCGATCGTTTATTCCGACCCACGCAACATTTAAAAAATAGCGCGTCCCAAGTCTCCACGCGTATTCACTGCTAACAGCGCTGTCTCTCTTTTACTCGTCACCTGTTCCCCGTGCGAGTGACAATAAATTCCCTCGGGCCTCTACCTCTCTTAAAAAGAAACAAATAAAATTCACTGGGAAAATTTCCCGAGTTATCGCCGTCAATCGCGAATGTTTGGACTATGTTTAAGTGGCCCCTCACGTTCAGAAAGAAAAAATCGTGTTGAGTTGATTCATGTGCGGCTACCGATCAGCTGTTCGAACATGTGATTCCCCTTCGCGAAATTCAAATGAAAAAAGTGTTAAATTTTTTTCTCACAACGGGCTATGAGCCCGCGATGAATGCTAAAATTCAATATTCCAAGTGAAAAAAAAAACATTTATAATCTTTTATCTCCAGTATTGACTCGTAAAGATTTCACGTCAAGACGTTTCTGAAAAGAAAAGTGATTGAAGTGATTAATTCGCGATAATTTCGATGACGCGGGAGAGGGGGCGCATGACGCGTACTTGCGCGGTAAAAATTGATTTATCGGCATGATGACGGGGTGATAGATATTTTTATTTACTACTGAATATTGAGGATTTTGTGTCGCGAAGATTGTTATAAATATGGTGCGGTCAAGGGGGTGGGAAACAGTGACCGTTCGGCGAGTGTTGACGTTGGGTATCCAGAAATTTTTATGTAAGATTCTATCTGAAATTATTTCTGTTTTTTAATTTGGGAAAGTGGACCGGTAGGAAAAAGCTGATGAAGGATATTCAAATAATTTTTGTTTCTGTCTGTATTATTTAAAAAAATAATGAAGGGTCAAATGTTGTTTAAGGTCAAACGGGAGAGACGGGTAGAGTAATCAGAAGGGTCAAATGTTCTTAGGACCTAATGGGGGATACGAATCGAGTGATCACCTCGCTCGTCTCTCCCGTTTGATCCCCTTGACGCCTCGCCGGTCTCTCCCATTTGGCCCTTGAGAAAATGCGATTCCTCTGATCACTTCGTTCGTCTCTCCTTCTTGACCCTTAAACAACGAATTTAGAGTAAAATTCGAATAACTTTTTTTTCTATCTCTATTTCTCAGAAAAATAATGAGGGGTCAAATGTTCTTGAGGGTTAAACGGGCGAGACGAGCAGAGTAATCAAAAGGGTCTAATGGGAGAGACGAATGGAGTGATCACTTCGCTCGTCCCTCCCGTTTGATCCCCTTGACCCCTCCGCCTGTCTCTCCCATTTGGCCCTTGAGAAAGTTTGATTCCTCTGATCACTTCGTTCGTCTCTCCTTCTTGACCCTTAAACAACGAATTTAGAGTAAAATTCGAATAACTTTTTTTTCTATCTCTATTTCTCAGAAAAATAATGAGGGGTCAAATGTTCTTGAGGGTTAAACGGGCGAGACGAGCAGAGTAATCAAAAGGGTCTAATGGGAGAGACGAATGGAGTGATCACTTCGCTCGTCCCTCCCGTTTGATCCCCTTGACCCCTCCGCCTGTCTCTCCCATTTGGCCCTTGAGAAAGTTTGATTCCTCTGATCACTTCGTTCGTCTCTCCTTCTTGACCCTTAAACAACGAATTTAGAGTAAAATTGCAATAACTTTTTTTACCCATCTCTATTTCGCGAAAAAATAATGCAGGGTCAAATGGGAGAGACTGGTGGAGGGTCAAATATTCTTGAGGGTTAAACGGGAGAGACGGGCAGAGTAATCAGAAGGGTCAAACGTTCTCAAGGGCCTAATGGGAAAAACGAGTGGAGTGATTACTTTGCTCGTCTCTCCCGTTTGACCCTTTTGACCTCTCCGCCAGTCACTTCCATTTGGCCCTTGAGAAAGTTTGACTGTCCTTTTTGACTCTTAAACAACGAATTTAGAGTAAAGTTGAAATAATTTTTTTTCTATTTCTATTAGCAAGAAAAATACGAAGGGTCAAACGGGAGAGACAGGTGAATGGTCAAATAGTCTTGAGGGTTAAAAGGGAGAGACGAGTAGAGTAATCAGAAGGATGAGACGTTCTTAAGGATCTAATGGGAGAGTCGAGTGGAGTGATCGCTTCGCTCGTCTCTCCCGCTTGACCCTCTTGATCTCTCCGCCTGTCACTCCCATTTGACCTTTAAAAAAACGATTCTACATTGCCCAATCCTCCCCTAGGTGGCCGCGAATCCATTTTGCCCCTACTTACCTTATAAAAACGATAAGATTCCAACGTAACGACTACTCCACTTGGGTATCATTAAATTGGTCTTAACTGCACTTGTACTGCACTCGCGTCTCCGGTGAGAGTGACTAGAACGGGGGAACTAGACCCTGGGAGTGGGAGCATCGGAAGCGAGATGATAGTTCACGTCCGTCGTGCCATAATTTTTCAGTGTTGATAGAGAATCGAAAGAAAAAGAAGAGATTCATTCTGATTTCAATTGACTGATATCAATTGATTGATTAAAGATGAAGCTCTATTTTATTTTCGAACTGGGTAAAGTATGAGATTGACAGTGAAGTCCATTTTTTGTGAGGATTATGCGAATAAAGTGCGTTTGATGGAAAGTTTCCAGTTTTTTTGCGATTGTATAGTGACGATGTCGGCAATCCAGTTAGAACTGATGACGATTTTGTTGCTAATTGTTTCGTTGAATATTTGAGGAATTCACTCGTGTCGAGAAAATGGCACATTGTGCATAACATATGAATAACTGAACTGCAAAAATTATGAAGAAATATTTCCTAGATGTTTTATGATAATTAATTGAAAATCAGTCGTTTTCGAGACCAATTTTTCGGTCATGAGGTCACGAGGTCGGTCAGGTAACGCTTCATTGGTTGAGTGTGAAGGGAGTGGGGAGTTGCCGTCCTCCATTGGCCGAGGCGCACGTCATGATTGGGTTAGGTCGGCTCGAGCCATTCTGTGGTTGGTCCAGCGCTCGACCGTCTATGTGACGTCATCGCGATTCCAAAGCGTTTAAAATCTCCAACTTTAAACCCTATATTGGTCACCCAATGAGGGAAATCTCACCGCGCGGCGTTTTTCTTTAATTACAATTGATTGGCTAACCGGAAAAATTGAAAAAAAATTGGCTTTGTCAATTGAAGTGTCAAAAAAAATATAGTAGTTTTTAGAACAACAGATTTCCCGAAATTCCTAAAGAAAACAAATTATTTTGGCCAGACGAATCATTTTTTCCCATGTTAAATGAAATTGGCCATGACGCGACGTTGCCGGAAACTCGCTAAACGCGCCCCGGTAGTGTGGAGTGAATTCGGCAACGCTGAGGCGTAAATAACACGGCGGGGAATCCCCGCGGAGCTGACCAAAGTCGGAGGGTCGCGTTTGGTGACGAGACTAGGGTTAACACTTAATCATTAATTAATGACTAATATTCGTCATTCGAAAATTTGAAAAAAACTCATGCAAGTCTCCCACTTCAGGTCGTCGAGCAATGGTGAACAACATCTGGTGTCGCAAGCTCTCTCACATTTGGCACCAGAAAACACCGGAGCCCCCGCACGGTCGTGCCTTCTCCGAGCCCCGTTACCAGCCCCACCTGTCCCGATGGTATCTCTGCTACAGATGGCTGATAAGTCTCGCCTGGCTGACGATAATCATCTGCTCGATCTTCGAGCTAGGCAGCTCCAAGCCCCTGGGCAAGTCCCACCTCTGGCCCATCTACCTGACAAATTGGGACCTTGCCCTGGGCTTCACCCAGTCCCTCCTCGGTCTCTACCTGGTGGCCAGACGATGGCAGCTGCAGAAGTCCCCCGACTTCGACATCATCAGTCTCAAATATGGCAAGACCGAGAAGATCTACTGGTTCTTCTACACCGTCACCTCGACATTGGCTATCGGTGTGACTTGCACCTACTGGGGGGCCGTCTACGACTCCAAGATTCATCAGGTCGATCTTCTCAACATCATGCTGCACGTGTGCAACAGCATTCTCATGATCATCGATCTTCTTGTCGCCAGAATACCTCTGAGATTCAGACACTGCTGGTGGTGTCCCACAGTTGCCATCTGCTATCTCATATTCACCATCGTCTATCACTCAGCTGGGGGCCTTGACAAACAGGGAAATCCGTGCATTTACAAGGTTCTCAACTGGTCGGAACCCGGAAAGACTATTATCGTTTGTCTCGGGGGACTGACATTCCTCATCGTTGTCCACTGCCTTCTTTGTTATGTCGCGCAAATCAGGGATCGGCTGTACGAGGGCAGTCAGAAGTACGTCAAGGATGAATCTGAGGGGGCTGAGAATGATCTGTCACTCAAGGTCAAGAGTTCGGAGGTTGTCTGAAGGATTGGTCGAGGGATTTGCCAGATATGAAAATATCCTATAGCAATTCCGATAGGATTTTCTATAGGATTTGCTATATTTAGGATATCCTATAGAATTTTCTATAGGATTTCCTATCAGATTTCTTATAGGATTTTCTATAGGATTTCATATATTCTATAGGATTTCCTGGAGGATTTTCTATAGGAGTTCCTATAGGATATCCTATAGGGTTTTCTATCGAATTTCCTATAGGATTTTCTATATTATATAGGATTTGCTATAGGATATCCTATAAAATTGTCAATAGGGTTTCCTGTGAAATTTAGAGTCATAAGGGTCAGAATGAGGGTCAAAATAGTCATATGGGGGTCATATGAGGGTCGTATAAGGGTCATATAAGGAATCCCTATAGGATTTTCTATATTCTATAGGATTTGCTATAGGATATCCTATAAGATTTTCAATTGGATTTCCTATGAAATTTAGGGTCATAAGGGTCAAAAGAGTCATTTGAGGGTCGTATAAGGGTCATATGAGGAACCTGTGCAAGTCATATGGCAGTCATATAAGGGTCATGTGAAGGTCAAATGTGGGTCATATAAGGGCCATATGAGGGTCACATAGGGACATGACCCCCATTTTCCAGTGACTTTTGACACTATCTGAAGAAGAAAATTGTTTCTTCTCCGATGGAAAAATCAGAAACTACGGTAAATATTTATTTGTGAGGGAGGGAATGATTTTAATATGAAACTGAATTTTTTGTACGGAGAGATGCGTGAATGAGGAGGAAACGATTGCTGTAATTGAAATAGTAAATTCCTTAGTTTTTAGTTGTAAAATAATTTTCAAACTGTCTAGTATATTATAACACTTACATTCCCATATTTATGTTCAGCTCTATAAATACCGTGATAGTAAATCCATAATCCCACAGGCGGGGGTCGGCCATTATTATTTTTTATCGCTAGTATTGATTTATCAATTCATTGAATCGATGAGGAAATCATTGATAGGATAGACTATATGATGAAAGTGTGATTGTCGTAGGTATATTTACCGTAGAAGTATTCCAGAGATTGTTTTGTGGTGTTCAGAGGATGATTCTCGACATTTCATTCTAAACTTTTTTTTTCTCTGATGAAGCAAATGTGTACGATATGTAAATTAGGATTATTCAGTTTGAATAAATGATTGTTCGTCACAGTGAGTTGAATTTCATGTCTTGTTTTTTGGTTTTAATGATTTTTTGGGTTCTTTTTAAGGACAACGGTTGCACGTGTTTTCAACTGGATGACTTTTCAACTAATTTCATTTGAATTTGTTTTCATTTTTATTTTTTTCTGTTTGTTTTTTGGTAGATAACATAATCCAATTCAATTTAATTTGACATGAAAATGATTTTTCCAGTTTGTGGTATATTACTACAAGTTTTAGCAGTTGAAATGTCGCCTAGTTGAAAAGGCATAAATTCCGTGAATGAAACTCTTCAGCGAGGGGGTAAGATTTTACAAGCGTTACGAAAATAAAAATCGCTTGAGGGGAATCGGCCACAATGTGGCGGGGAGTATGGAAAATGAGGGGAGTGGGTCCCAGCGCGTCACCACTCCAACTCTGACGTGTGCTGTAACGGTCGGATGGCAGCTGGGGTGGTGGAGTAGCAGGAAACAATCGATGCTGTATTCATATTCAGACATCACCGTCAACCCTCATCTTGCCGACGGTCTGGGGGGTAGTCGAAATCTCCCCCCCCCCCTTGTAGGGATTGAGGAGTTGTCGGGAAGGTAACAATCCACTAACAAATGCAATTAAACTAATAATTATAGATTTATTATCCGCGTGAAATCAATACAAAGGTGAAGAGAAAATAATATGATCCGATCAAGTGTGCGATACGAGCTGTACTGTTAGACTGAATTATATTCGCACGGAAAGGTGTCAGCGAGGCTGCCGAATATCCTTACGATTTGATGAATCAGAAAAGAATACGCGTGGTACTGAAGGTGCGAGTGAGACGGCAAATGCCTGTGCTCGTCGTTATAGCCAGTGTTCGCGTTTTAGGATGTAGCGAGGCGCAACATCCCCCCCCCCTCCCCCTCCCTGTAGGAATCGAGGAGGTTGTGGGATTTAACAATTCACTAACAAATGCGATAATTATAAAACAATCACAGTATATTTACAAGGCGTAGACTATATACGAAAAAAATGAAGAGAGATAATGTAAGGAGTAGGTGTTCACTCCTGAGTATTCGGCGGTCGGTGCCGGATTGTCTCGTTGAGGTGTTTCTCAATTCGCAAGACAGCCCAATTCCGTAGATGGAATTAATCCGAAATATACGCGTGACACAATAGGGAGCGAGTGAGACAGGACGGGAGTTTCGTTCGCCCGTCAATCATCTTTTCCTTTGTGTCCGTGGTCAACGCGTAAATGTGTGCGTCTGCAGGTGAGACGCTACACCCCCCCCCCCGGACAAAATTCACTTTTTCCTAAATTTCCCGGACAAAATCTCAAAGAAAATCTCCCCGCAGAGGAGAGAGATCTAATTCGATATAAAAAAAGGTTTACAAAGGTTTATTTTTAAAATTCATATTTTTTTTTTCCTTCCTCTATTGTATTTGAGAATAGCTCTGAGGTATTTCTCTGAGAGGGGGGAGAGAGATGAGTCCCAAATCATCCTGGTTCCCCTTCTACTTGAGTCAAGCGATATTGATTGATATTTTGCAAATGTTGTGATTGAAGCAGTTTTATTTTTTTGTTTTTTTCCTTGTTATTTAAGCCTTTCGACAAATGTTTTCGTTTTTTTCAATGACTTCCGTGAAGTAAAGACAATTGAATTGAAAATTTTTGGATTTGTTTTTTTTCCTTTTTAACTGTATAGTCGATAATATTGTTGTGATGGTACGAATAATTTTTCGAAGATTTTTGGGGGGAGCTTTTGTCCGGGGTTTTTTTTGAAGATATTGTCCAGGTGGACTTTGTCCGGGGGGGGGGGGAATTTT